TTACATTTAAATTAATCTATATTTCTTATCTATACTTTGCCACATGGCTCATGGCTTGTTACCTCATTTTTTTATACATCCTGCTTCCTCTCCATCTGCTAGCATCTCTCTGACTCCACCCCTCTTTCTTCCCAGTTCTTAGTTTGGCTGTCCCACCTATACTTCCTACCTGGCTACCAGCCAATCAGCCCTTTTGCTAACAATGAGAGCGTTTTCACAGTGTACAGGATTATTCCACAGCACTGCTGCCTGCAGATCCAGGTGTAGAACTCTCAGCTACCTCTCCAGCACATGTCTGCCTCCATGCCTCCATGCTTCCTGCCAAGATGAGAATAGACTAAAGTTCTGAAACTGTAAGCCAGCCCCAATTAAATGTTTTCCCTTTATAAAAGTTGCCATGGTCATGGTGTCTCTTCACAGCAATAGAAACACTAAGACAATAATAATGTATAAATATTGTATTATGTATATCATATGTATAATAGATAAATCTTTCAATAGATCCACTATATGAATAATAAAGTATCACCTAAAATTATCAATGGTGGCATGACTTTTGTCACTTGCAAAAGCTTTTATGTTAGATTAGAAGATATAAGCAATATCTACCTTGATCAGCTGAAGCAACTACATCAGCATACCACAGACAGGGAGGCTTATCAACAGAATAACAGGAGTCCAAATGCTTGCATAGTTGGTGTCTACCAAATCCACCTTCTGGTTCATAGAGGGTGCCTTCTCAGTATATCCTCAAAGGGTGGGAAGGTAGGGAGAGCTCTTTGGGTCTCTTCCTAAGGCCGTTAACGTGGTTCATGAGGGCTCTGCCCACAGAATCAAATCACTTCCCAATACCATCACCTCAGGGAGAGGCTGCAGACTCAGCCTCATGGCAGCACACACAGACAATAGCATCTATGACAATATGAATGAAGTTAGGGAACCTAGATGGACCTGAATGTAAGCTATAGCACAAACAGCCAGTCAGCCGGCATGCATTTCAGTCTATCCGTAGGAGAAGAGTTTATCTGCAGCCCCTGAAGGGGAATTTGAGAGACAGTCTTTTTTTCTTGTTGTACTTAGTGGTTCTCTGCTATTCACATCACAGTAAGCTTAGGCAGGAAAGTGTGGGTTTACATTAGGGCTAAAGACTGATCCCCGACTAATGCTGAAATTAGCCTTCGAAAACTGGGTTTAGTGCAAGAGGCAAATAAATTAAAAAAAAATAGATCTTTTAAACTGGAGTGTGATTCTAGAATGTTCCAGTAACAGGAGTATGAGATATATGTCTCATGGAAGAGGATAGACGAGTCGTGTGCCTGAACAATAAGACTTTCATCTCAGTCCAAAAAAAAAAAAAATGACACTAAAAATCCAGTGAATTTGTATATTTCACCCAGCACTTCCTTGGCCAGTGTTTGAAGTGATCTGCCAGGCAATCCTGAAAGTGGCGGCTGTCATTTTCAATGGATAAAGCCGACTTAGAAGGTCAAGACGTCTCAGAGCCTTTGATTAATAATTGGTGGAGTCTGGGCTCAAATCAATCTATTCTGTACACCAAGTCACTTATTGGGGATGGGGGGAGAGAGAGAGAGAGAGAGAGAGAGAGAGAGAGAGAGTTTAAAAAACACCCAATAAAATAAAACTTGATAGAAGTAAGGATTCCAAGATGAGTTAGCTGGGGAGCAGCAGTGTTCCCAGTCAGGCATGCCTGCTTCATGCAATCCCAGCACTTGGGAACTGGAGGCTGGAAGATGAGAACAAGATGATTCCGTGAGTATAAGTGAGACCCTGGGTTTGATTGTAGGAACACACGTGTGGCAATGAGCATCTGTAGTTCCCACACACCTGCGATTAAAAACACAGGCAGAGACAAGGGAAGCAGGCAGAAGATTGTGGGCTAGCTTGGAGTACACAGTGAAACAAAAGAGAGACCTTGCCTCAAAAAACAAGCTGGAAAGCCGGAGTGGTGGCACATCCCTTTAATCCTGTTCAGAGGCCTTGCTGGTCAGAAGTTGCGGTCTCTCATGGGCTGGCAGCTCTCTCCAAGCTCAGCAACATGAGGGACTTCCTCCCCAGAGAGACTTCCTGCTTTTTACCTGTCCTTATCTGGAGAGTGTTTCTAGGCCTGGAGGACTGACCTTATCTGAAAGCTGTCTCTAAACCTGGATACCTGATTTATCTCTAGCATGACCCTTGGCATAGTTCCCTGCTAAAAGCTTTCCTCCTGTTGCCCGGATGGTAACTAAGACTTGTAGTAGGAGCTTTGGTATATGACCCTCCTGCCACATACAAAGCCTTATGGTAGGAGGGTGCTGTTTAATGCAAAATAGGTGAGGCCCCAGCCTTTATATTCCCTTTCTTTCTGGAATAAAGTTGAGCTGTCTCACTGAAGTCATCTCCCGGAAGGCTATCTCCATCGTATCCACAGCCATCCAAACCCTGTTCCCCGCTCTGCTCTCTCCACCGGTGTGGACCGGTGGACCAGTGGCCCACGATCCCAAGGAAGAAAGAGAACAACACAATCCCAGCACTTGGGAGACCAAGACACGCAAATCCCTGAGTTTGAAGCCAACCTAGTCTACACATTGAGTTCCAGTTCTGCCAGGACTACACAGAGAAGTTCTGTCTCAAAAAAACAAAACGAACAAAGCAAAGCATTGTGGAATAAGAGAACCAAGTCTGGGAAGTTGCCCTCCGACTTCCACATGCACACAGGGACTCATGTGCACCCCTACTCACACATGCATAAACACACACATACATAATGTAATATCCTACATTTTTAAAGAGTTCAGGGTCACCCTGCGCTATGTGGAGCGTTCAAGGCCAGCCCTGGTCTCAACAACAACAAAATGTTCTGCTTGTCTAAAAAACACTTCTCCCCTTATCACTCCTCTTTGGTTTTAGATTTTTCCTTCTCTGGTGGGAGTTGTGGGAGAAGGTCACCTCCCATTCTAGAAAGAAAGGACGCCCTCTCTCCCTTTTGACGGCTGTCTTGCTCCCACCCTGCTCTTTTGCAAGTTACTTGGCCAAACCTTAGCCGTATCTGACATGGACTGTGGCTAAAAGCAAACCATGGCTTTAGTGACCTGAGCTCTCCAAGGCCAGTGTGTACATTTCAGTTTCCTGGTTTTAAGAGGCAGTGAGCAGAAGTCAGTTGCTGTAACTGACCAGAAGGCTGGAGCCCATGCAGGCTTGAGCCTCCCATTGAGTAGCTGTCTCGAGACAAACCTCTTGCTCTGACCCAGTAGGTCATCGTCACATGTCTTCCTGTAATTTACTAAGTTTTGTTCTATTGTAGTGTGTTTGCCCTCCACTGGTTTAGAAGACACATTCATACTTCCCAGAGAAATGTTGAAGTGACTTGTTAAAGGTACGTCGTTGTTTGGTTTTTGTTTTGGGGGCACAGGGTCTTGCTAGATACGTATATATGTAGCCCAGGCTGATCTTAACCACATGGAGACCCTCCCACCTCACGCTCCCAAGTGCTGGGATTATAGGCATGTCCCGTGTCCTGGGTGCTGTCAACAGTGCCTGGAGAGTACAATTTGGGGAACTTGAAATGTGATAAAACACAAGTTAGTGCGTGTTTATTGCTCACTGTTTGCCATTTGGCCTTGGCGATCCCGTTTTATGTAATGCTGTCGTTGATACTCTTGATTTAAATTCCTTCCTAACTTTGATCTTGAAGGCAGCATGTTTTCAGAGTGTGTTCCGCTCTGTCTTCTTCTAACGGTGCTCGTCCCCATGATTTCTGATGGCAGCTCATTATACATCTGCTTACCTATTTTATCTAACACATCGATCGTCATCTAGCTCTCCAAACATGACCTGCTCGATCTGGACGGCGCCCAAATGTATCCCCAAAGTATTCATTAACCCCCAGAGAGTTTCCCCTGTCGTGCGACCTCAGTTTGGGCGCAGGGGATTTTCTACTCTAAGAGAGACTCTGGTTGTCATTCTCCAAGCCCCTTGGCCACTTCCAGAAGCTTTCTGCTGCCTCTCCACTTCACTCAGATTTGAGAGAGTTAATTATTTAATATGTTTGCAAAGCACATTGGGTTCCCTAGAGAAAGTGTGCCACATAAATATATATAAATGAATAATTAATTAAAGTTTAAGCAGATTACTTGGTTCTTCCTTAACTGCCCCATTTTCCTAATGAGGTGTTTGAAGTTACACTCTTGTCTCGGTTCTCCTTCCTCTCCCTTCCGGCCATCATCATCTTCCCATCCTTGCATTTCCATCTGTTTAACCCTTCATCCCTGGGTCAGTTCCATCGGTACCTACCCCACTTTGGGCATTGTCAATCACAGTGACTCAGCCCCAGATCTATAGGTAAAAGCCTTCATTAACTTCTATGGGCATCATAAGCTTGGAAGAGCTCTAGGGTAAGATTAATAATTAGGTAATGATTTTAACACGCTGTGCAAATGAGAAGCCAGGCTCAGGAAATGCTGAACACATTGTGGTTATGGATATCCCAAGAAACTCCGATTTTCCCACCCCATCTCCCTGACACAAGAGATCTCATCTAGTCTAAAATGATTACCAACTCAGTCAAGTCTCCCCAGAACCTCAATGGTCTCTTATCAGGTAGAAGCTATGGGGAGGGGGAGCGGCGGGGGGAGAGAGAGAGAGAGAGAGAGAGAGAGAGAGAGAGAGAGGGGGGGGGGGAGGGGGGGGGGGGGGGGGGAGGGGAGGGCTTGCAATCTCAGAGAGTGTTAGAGATCTGGTGTATTCTCCTGGAGTGCCCTGCCCTGACTTATCTGGAGTCTGAAGGAGCAGAGACATAACTACTCATTGAATGACGATGTCCAGTCCCTGATTATTCCTTTAAGACGAAGAGGAAGAAGAACAGTTCACGTCCATCTTGCTAAACCTGACCTAGTTTATTTACACTCTAATCTTACTTCAGAGCATGAGAGGTAAAAGGAGATGCTCTTATCAATTAATAGCTGAAGAGAATTTAGATTTCAAGTTCAATTAAAGAGCTATTTATTCCAAAGCAGCAGAAAAAGTGAAGTGGGGCTCCCGGTAGACTGGGGTGGGGGTGGGAGCGGAAGTGCTGCAGAGAATTTTTTTCTTTCCCTCTTAAGAGTTGGACTGACTGTGAAATCTTGGATTTTCTGGTGACCTGTGTTAAGGCCCTGGGGCGAAAGCAGACCTATAATGGATCTATTTCTGAATTGTTCAGCACTATTGGAGTCTCAAACAGCAGTAGTGGTACATGCATATAATGAGGCCAGCGACTCCTTCTGCATCTGGGAGGGCATCGGTCGCAGCTTTTGTGGCCTCTCGAAGCACAGAGGAGAGGGAGATCTTCCTTGGCCCACTTCCAGAATTCTCTAAGGAGCCAGTCCTGTATTGAACCAACACGGGAACTTCTTTAGGACTCTGAGACAAAAGGGGGAGTGAAAGACCCCGGAGCTGCATGCCTCTTCCACTGCGGTCACATCTCTCCATGAAGGTGTTGCTCTCCATTCAAAGACCCCAGGCTAGGGAGGGCATGGCTTTGACCAGTCACACATAACTGAGTAGTTATTTGTGTTGCGCTTACTAGTAGCATGAATAAGCATGGAGAGATGTTGAAGCCCACAGCCCCCCTTTTTCTGGGAGTAGTACCCCTTCAACCTCAGTTTACAGGCCCGCAAAACCAGGGACTGACTGGCTTAGCCCTCCAAGGTAGCTTCAAATCAGAGACTGACAAAAATCAGACATTGGTGATGGGCAGGGGTGGGTGGGTGTGAGGACACTGGACACTGGAGAGCCCAAGGCACACGATGGAGTAAGTTCAGAAAGTCACCAGCTGGCTCGGGCACTTTGGCTTGCTTTGTATTATTTATAGCCTTGGGTTTGGGTTCCAGAGTTTAACACCAAGTCTGGTGCACAGTAAGTGCCCAATAATACTGGATTAAAAACTGGGACTTTAACATCAAACTTAACTATGTATTACTTTTGTAGATTTTCTAAAGCAAAAGATCATATGCTGGAACAATAGGAATTTGGGGCTGGGATACAGCTCAGTTGGTAAAGCACTTGAATAGCATCATGAGTCTTAGGTTCAGTTTTTTTGTTTGTTTGTTTGTTTGTTTTGTTTTGTCTTTTGTTTTCCCTGAGACAGGGTTTCTCTATGTAACAATCCAAGCTGCCCTGGAACTCACTTTGTAAAACAGGCTGGCGTTGAACTCACAGAGATCTGCCTGTCTTGAGTTTTGGGTTCAAGCACTGATTGCATAAACTAATAGGTATGATGGAATACGCAGGGAACCTCAGCACTTAAGAGCTGAAAGCAGGAAGGCCAAGAGTTCAAGGTCATTCTCAGCTACATATAGAGTTGGAGGCCAACTTGGGGTACAGGAGACCTGTCTCAAAAGAAAAACCACAGTGAAGCATATCCTTACAGTTCAGGAACATGGAAGTCCTACCCCAAGGCCCCCGTAAACCTGTGTGCAGATGTGCCCCCTCCTGGACCTCTAGAGCGGACCCTTCCTTACCTCTGCAGGATCTGGCTCCACGCATCCCCTGTCTTATGGCCTCACGACTCTGACCTCACTCCCATCTTCCCATGGTTGTCCCTTCCATATTTTATTGTCACTCCCCTGTGCACACCTATGGCCAAGTGTCCCTCCTCTTATCAGGCCCCCAGCCATTGGAGTCAGGGCCCACCCCGTGACCTCATTTGACCTTGACCCTATCCACACAGCCCCTGTCTCCAAACACAGCCACACCCACAGGTGTGATGGGGAGCCGGAACACCACATGTCTTCTTAAGCCCTGTGATTCAACCACAGAACCCACTTCATGGACTCATTGAAAAAATGAATCAATACACAGATGTAACTGTTTTGAGATGAGGAAGGTGTTTATGCAAATTCAGGGCCAGGAACTCCGCTGGGGCTTTCTCCCACCAAGTTTCAGCAGAAGGAGGCCCCTGAAGTCCCCCTCAGGGGAGTGAAAGCCAGGGAGGTGATTGAGTGGAGAAGGCGAGGCTGAGGGACAGAAGACAACTCTGTTACCTTCTGAGAGTCACATTAGGGTTCCCAGGGGAGAGAGTGACCATCTGGGCATCTAAGAATGAGACATCGGGCAAGGTGTGCTCATCGCCAGAGCCTCGGTGGGGAGAATCCACGTTCTCTGCTCTCTTAAACTCCATGCTGTAAGCCTCTCTGACCTCAAAGGTTGCTTCATGAAGAACAGCTTTAAGAAGTGCCAGGAACTTCTCCATGGACCATCAACATACAGGGCGGACCCAAGGACACCAGCAGGGTTGTGTTTCTCTCCTTTCTCCTTTTTGGGGTTAATGCCAGAAAGAGGTGCATCCTAGTTGATTACAAAGCTCAGGTCTAAATTTCAATTTGGGGCTGAACAGTCGTTTCTCCCCAAGGTTTGAATAAATCATCCAATCTGCTTCGGTTTCCACTATTTTCAGCATTTCTATTTTCGTCATTAATTCTGCCTGCTTAGGACCCTGAAGTCACTGAGCCCGTTTGTGGCTTAATTTGGGATGAGGCTGAAGCGGGAGGCATAAGAAATGCTGGAAGTCTATCAAGAGGGGGAGAAGGCTTGTGCTGATCTGCCGGATTCACCCAGACACGGGGACAGTTCTTCCATTGTGACGATGGTGATTCTTCTGGTTTGCCCCAGCGGGACGGGTTACAGAATCTGCAAGAGTGGGCTGTGTGTAATTCTGGTAAACATAGCAGAGTCCCTGTAATGGAAGTGGCTTTAATTTTCATTTTGCTTTGACTAGAAAGAAATGGAATGACTCTATATTCATATAGGTTACAGTACTACAAGATAATAGATGTAGGCAATCCATTCTGCTCCTCTTTTTGCTTTGCCCGCTAGGAAGCTCTGAACTAAATACATCTCAGCTGAAAATACCAATCTTAGCCCAGGATTCTGTTTCATTTATCTTTTGCGTAGAACAAACTGCCTCCAAAATGAGTGGCTCCAAGCAACAATTTATTTTTCTCTTTAGTGGTTCAACAGATTGACAAGACTTTGCTAAGTGGTTTGCCTGGGGACTCTTGGGTATTGGAGATGGTGTGCTCATTCACCCACCAGCACCTGAGTTGGGAGAGCTAGGCTGACTGGAGACTGGCTGCACATCTTTCCCTCCATGTGGCTAGCTTGGGCCTTCTCACTGAGGGGTGTTAGTGCCATCAGCTCCCGTATGGTAGCTGGCATCTCCAAGAGGCCAGACTTCCCACAGCATCATAACAGTGCTAAGGTTCATGGATGGGATCATCTTTGGAGATCAGTGGCTTTTATACATCTTTGTCGACTTTACAGGATCTTGGGAATCATGCCTCTTTCTCTATGAGCCTTCAGGGGAAGTCGGTGAGCACACACAAGCAATGCTTTCCTCTTGTCCAGGGCCTGTCCATGTGCCGTGTGCTCTCTGTATCCACGGTGCTACCTCACCTGCCTTCCCAATACCACGTAAGTGGGCAAACCAGCCGCTTTGTTCCCAGCTTTACCAACAGAGGTTCAATAATGATTAGGGCCTAACCGAGGTAACTCAGCCAGGCAGTGGTGGTCAGCTGGGCCTTGGAAAGGTGTGTCTACCGTGGCCACCTATGGTCTTCAGCAGCTGGTGACGCAGGGACAGAGAGCTGAGTCTGCAATCCAGGTGGGAACCTCTCATTCTGAGCAGAGCCTGGTTGCCTCTTCATGAGTCCTTCTCAGCACGAGTCAGACATACTGGTGAGGAGCCTTGAATAAAGCCGCCTTGAGTGAAACCGGGGTGCGACTGGGTGGTGGAATGCTTGGTGAGCCCACACAGCCCCCCTGAGCTCAACCCCCAGGACCACAGTGATGGTACTAACAAATAAGTAAGTGCCAGAGTTCACACTAGCTATGGCGCCTTTCTGCAGCCGGCCCGGGACTTCGCGGTACCTTCATTTCCTCATCTGTAACCTAAGATTGATGATTATGACGGGGCCCCCCCGCTTTCAGGGGCTTGTCATGTGGATTCGGTGAATGAGTATAGCAAAGGGATATGTGATAAGAACCGGGAAGACTTGCCTCAGTGGGAAGAAGTAGAGAAAGCAGCTGCTGAGAGGACTCCGGGTCTTGCTGCGCCTTCTCCAATTTTCCTGATTGGATGCGGAGCTTATTAGCCAGTGTCCATCTAGCTGATGCTGTTTTTTTTTTTTTTTTTTTTTTGGCTTGATACAGAACATTCCCAATAAGCCAGAAGCCCCAAATCCATGCTAATGGCTGCTGGAGGACTGCTGGGTCAGTTACGAAACACAGCCGTGACTCGTAGGCACAGCCTGCCTTCCCAGGGCCTCTCATGTACACTCCATCTCTTCTTGATGATTTCACTGATACTTTCTCCCCTAGGTGCAGATCACTTTCCCTTTCACTCTGTCCCAACAACATCTGTGTGTTCCTGCTCAATCTTTCTCTCCTGCACTCCCCTTTTTTTTCCATACACGTGCTTTTAATTCATTCACCCAAAGATACCCCTACATCTACAGACACAGGCCCTTGGCTTCCTGTATCCTGGGTACCTTCCCCAGACGCTGATGTTTCTGTACTCTCTGAGCTTGCAGTGCCCCCCCCCATCTTATTCCAAGTGCCTATGAGGATGGCTGAAGAATCTGAAGGCATGCTTGCCAGGGTAGGAAACACAATGATGCTCTGGACACCTGCATCCACCTGCCTAGGGATGTTCAGCCCACAAAACTCTTCGGTGCTGTAAGAGGGCCAAAGATGGGAAGGCCCACCCATACTCTGCCCAAACCACCCTTGTGCAGCCCAGAGAACTGCTGTTGTGAGCGCCTGTGGACGGCCCAGGTACTCCTGACCCAAAGGCTTGGCTAAAGGGAGCTGCCTGTTTCCCCAGCTCAGGGTAAGGGGAGAATTGAGCTGAACATGCACCTATGCAGAAGGGCAAAGAGCCAAAAATAACTAGGAGCAACGACATTTCATTTGACAGGCCCAGAAATAGAGCTCATTCCGGAGCACACCAGAGCTCCAGCCAGAATGATTCGGAGACCTTCAGCCACCCCTAGAAACAACCAGGACACCAGTGTTCCTGTCCCTCCCCAGTGCGCTTCTCAGAGCCAGGCTCTGTGGTTTGGGGAAGTACTGGCTGGTCACAGCCCAGGGTTCAGAAGAGAGTGCTAAGGATGAGGAGACAGGAATGGGATCTGGTGGGGTGGTCTAAGGACAGAACAAGAGGGGCGTGGTAAGAAGTAGGAGACCCGGAACAAGGAATGTGGGTGAGACGCTCTGGGAAGCACCAGAGAATGGAAACACAGAGTATGAAAAGAGGCCTGCAGGGTATAGCTGGACCTCGAAGGACCATGGCAGAGAGGAAAGACCAGGGTTTCCCTCCTGGGATGGAAGCCCTGGCTGATGGCAAGCTTCTCTCCTATTTTGATGGGAAAGACAAACGGTGTGGTTCATTCACCACTCTTTGAATAACTGAAACTGCAGAAAAGAGGAGAAAAAACTGCGTGTGGAAACAGATTGGGAGATAATATGATCGTAAGAGGAGAAGAGGCAGGGAGGGGAGGAGAGGGGGGAGAAAAGGCAAGCCAACACGAGAAGGATTCAGTGAATGGTCTGCACATCAGGCGTGCGGCAGGCAGACAACGGTGCCCAGGAAACATGTCATTTCCAAGACCTTGGTTTAGTTAGGACAATAAGCCACCAATCAAGCACAATTGTGGGCAGAAGTGGCCAACGGACGTGAGAGAACTGACCAACTGTGCTTTGAACTGGGAGGGAGAGAGAGGGTGCGCTGGCTAGTTTTATGTCAACTTGACACAAGCCAGAGTCCCTGGAAAGGAGGGAGCCTCAATGGAGAAAATTATTCCATTTTCTAGAAATCCAAGATCTGGACATAGCCTGTAGAGCATTTTCTTATTGATTGATGGGGGAGGGCACAGCCCATTTAGGGTGTGGCTGCCCCTGGGCTGTTGGTCATGGGTTCTATAAGAAAGCAGGCTGAACAAGCCTCGGGGAGCAAGCAGGTAAGCAGCACCCCTCCATGGCCTCTGCATCAGCTCCTGCCTCCAGGTTCCTGGTCTACTTGAGTTCCTGTCCTGACTTTCTTTAATAACGAATAGTGATGTGGAAGTGGAAGTGAAATAAACCTTTCCTCCCCAAGTTACTTTGGTCATGGTGTTTTATCACAACAATAGTAACCCTAATTAGGACAGGGGGCTTCCTAGAGTCAGTAGTCTTTGCCTGGGCCCTGGAGATTTATATAGGAGGGAATCATGGAGAAGGGACATGCCACAGTCCATAGAGTGCCTTCCCATCTCTTAAAACCCAGGGATCATATGTCTCTGTGGGGACAGATCTCTTTATGCTGGGTATGCCGTTTACCTGGGGCAGGTTTCCAAGTACCCATAAGGACCATGACAGGTCAGAAGTGAGTTCCTACTGACCTACAGCAGAAGGAGACAAAGACAAGTTTTGAGTTCATCACAAGTAAATTACATTCTGTCTAAAGGACTATCTATCTATCTATCTATCTATCTATCTATCTATCTATCTATCTATCTATCTATCTATCTATCTATAGGGTGTGTGGTGTATGTATATGTATGGTGTGTGTGTGTGTGTGTGTGTGTGTGTGGTGTGTGTGTGTGAGTGTATGTGTGATGTGCATGTATGCTCATCCATGTGTGCAGGTATGGAGGCCAGGGGTCAACACATGGCATCTTTAATTGCTTCTCCATCTTACTTCTTTTGAGATATGATCAGTCATTCATTGAACCTGGAGCATCCTGTTTTGGCTAGACTGGCTGATTAGCAAACTCCAAGGATGCTCTTGTCTCTCTTCCCCAGTGGTGGAGTCACGGGATGGAGCCACCAGGTCTGGCTTTCCTGTGGGTGCTGGGGTTCTAGACAGAGGTCCTTACGTTCACTCATCAAGCTGGAGCCATCTCCCCACTCCAGGACCGTCTGTGGTGGGTTGAGATGATCTGTTATTATGATGTTGGATCCTCCCTAATTAAAACAAAATTTTGACTTCATTTATCTATGTACTGGGGTAGGGCATGTGCCGTAATATGTGTGTAGAGGTCAGAGGACATTTGGGAGTTGATTCTCTTCTTCCACCATGTGGGTCCCGGGTTCTTTAAGTGCATTCAGGTTGTCCAGTCCAAGCTCCTTAACCTGCTAAGCTGCTGAGCCAGTATCTTGTACGTTTTCTAGCCTGGCCTTGTGTTCTTGGTCCTCTGGCCTCAGTTTCCCAAGTGCTAGCTTGACAGGCATGTACTCTGCCATTCCTCTCTACCTCCCTAATTATTTGATTAAAAAAAAAAAAAAAACTTGTCCTTTTGATAAAATGATGTTGATGGAATACAATGTATTTTAGATCTTTTTCTAAATATTTTTATTCATCACATTTCTACCTGGCCAATTGCATTCCCTAAGATTTGGCTGATCTTAAATTGCCTCTGAGTTTTAGAACAACTGGTTGAGGGGTGGTCCTTGCAGATCCCAGAGATGAGCAGCGTTATTCAAATCCAGGCTACTTTCTTACTCAGCCGGGCTCTAGATCTTGGCTTCCTCTCCCACTGGCTCACCTAAACTCTCTTGATTGCCTTGGTGTCTGTCAGGGTTGGGTATGGATCTGCTCTTCTCTCCCTGTCTCCTTAATGGGGAAATGATAAACTATCTTCCACTAAGGTAGGCACAAGGGATGCCAGACTCAAACCGTCTCCTCCTGGGGGTCTTTGGATTTTAGTGGTGTATAAAAGCTTAATCCAAACAATGAATTGTGAAGGCAATGGGGAAAATATATTTGTTTCCAAACAAGGGGCTTTCTTCTGAAATAAAGTCGCACCCTTCAAATAATCTACTAGAACAGAGGCAAGGGTAATAAAACGTGATTGTGTCTTCTGGACCAAAAGGTCACTGTGAGAATTCCTGACCTTTCTCTGCCCCTTTCCAATATAGGAGTCACCAGGCAAACCCATTCTCATCCCCTGGGCAACAAAGTCACCCAGGGATCACTTTAGAGGACTTAACTGTGTTTAGGTCAGTTTTCTGAAGCAGGTCCATTGCTCTCGATGAAAATGGATGGTCCCGCCCACCTCTGGTTTCCTGAAGAGTACTTACTCAGTGCTACAGAAGACAAGGAATACACAGTTGGACACAGAGTGCTCTGTTAAGTACCACCCAGCTCCAGTGGAACACACTTCTGTATGCTTTGAGAACTGTGCCTCGGACTGCAAGCCACAGGGGAGACTATTCAGTTCCCCGAGGATAGGAGTCTGGGCCCACAAGAAAGGACAGAAACTCTGGAGGAGCGCCCAGGAAGACAGGTGGACGCCCACAAAATCTGTCTTGCCTCTGACACCCCCTTCTCTTAAACAAACCAACAATTTTCTATGCACGTATATTAATAGCGTCATGTGGTGGTCCTTGCCTGCAATCCCAGCCTTCAGGAGGCTGAGGCTGGAAGATCTCAAGCTCCAGAACACTCTGAGTACATAGAATCATGACCTTGTCTCAAAAAAGAAAAAGAAAGAAAGAAAGAAAAACAACAACAAAAAAATCTGTGGAGTATTTTTTCTTTTGATGGAAAAAATACAGATGGGATCTGGGACAAAGCCACCCATCTTTTGTTCCCTTGGACACTAAATGGAATAAATAGTTTCCTGCATCACAGAGGAGAATTTTAAGTGCTTTGTTTCTGTGGAAGTGGGACAGGGATCCTGGCAACATCTGTCAAACCTCCCGAGTGCTTCATTGTGACTGCAGCTGGCTAGGCAGGCAGCATCTTTCCTGGAAGCCCATGGTTCGGAAAGTGAGGCCTCTCTGACTCTCCTGGAAGCCCATGGTTCAGAAAGTGAGGCCTCTGACTCAGGGGTGGCACTGTCCCCCACTTGGAAACTCACTCACCAGACGGCTTCTCAACACCACCCAGGACCCACTGAGTCAGAACCCAGAGGCTCTCCACCATCTACCTGCTTTGGTCTCCAGGTGCCTTTGGCCGAACTAAGATCTGAGAGCCTTCCAGCTGTGATGGGGTACCAGGATCCTCACACAGGCCCACACACTCATAGGTGACCTACGAAACAAAAACGAGCATGGGAGACCCAGCTCTCTGCTGATATCCCAGGCCTGACCAGGGCCAGGATAACTCACTCCGGGCTTCTCAGCCCCACCCTTGCTCAACCTCACAAACCTGGCAAGACTTGGCCGACGGTAGTGGCAACTCCTCAGGGAAAGGGCTGCCTTCTGTGACTTCCAATCTATTAATAGTTCCCATCTACAAATCCCCACCAATGCCAAAGGGGCAAACTTTCCAAGGTGGGTTAACTATCTCACAGTACTAGCTGTCAGCCCCAAGGAGTTTTCTCAGCAGCAAGACAGCCAAGCACTTCCCGGAACTACAGGGCACGCCCTGAGCTGCTCACCCTGTCCCTGAGGCTGCCTCACCTGGGACTGGCTACAGAACCCAGGTCTACTAAAACAGTCAGTCCCACCCTGCCTCCCCAAAGCCCAAGATGTGTCCTGATTTTTTAAAAAGCTGTTGGCGCACTTCAAGGGCCTCACCCCCTTTCATATGGGGCTTGAGTACGATTGGACTGGCCTAATTAATTCGTTTTCTTCTCGGTCCAAGTGGAAGCTGGAGCTCGGGGATGCAAATCAAATACAAACCCGCTCTGGGCGCCAATACTCCGGACAATTAAAACAAAGAGAGCGGCGGCAGCGGCGGCGGCACGCACAAAACCCTGGGGAAACATCCAGAACGTGTCGCCAATCAGGCGGCAGGGTGGGGCACAGCCTGGGCTCTAAACGTGCAAGCAGGAAAGCGGCCCCGAGCCCTTCAGGTGGACAGGTGGAGGTTGGCAGGGGTCAAAATCCATCCCTAAGGATTAGAAGCCAAGCGGCTGCTGCGTGGCTTAACTCTAAGGAAGCACCCTCGGCCCCCGCCCTGCAGGAATGGCGCCCCGGCTACAACGCCCCCCCCCCCTGCGCCCCCAAGCTCCTAAACAAACCTCACTGCCTAGTGCCGGGGCGCGAAGTGGGAATGAACGGCATGCAGCAGGGTGGGCACTGGCGGGAGATACAGGAGGGAGCGATGGAGAAGGAGGGGAGTTAGGGAGAAAGGACGTGGAGGAAAGGGAGAAAGTGGGGAGAAGAGGGGGTGAGGGAAGGGGAGGTGGGGAATCGCGGACTGCAAGGGCGCGGAAGGGGCGGAGGAGGAAGCAAGAGAAAGGGATGGGGGCGGCCGAGAGCCCCGCGGACCCGGCGGCGAACCCCGGCCGGGGGGGCGGGACCACGCGGTCCCCACCTGCGTGGGCGCCCACGGCCCCTAGGGGTGGACGCC